GAGCGACTGTGGACGGCGAGCAGCTAGTGCCCTACATCGTGCGTGTGTCAGACGGCAGTGTAGACAGTAGATGTAACTCTTGGACAGGCGACGGAGACCAGAACAGCACGGGAGGAGCGTGGATTTGAGCTTGCGGAATCAGCGAACATCCGTGGAGCTACTCGACCAGTCATGGATCACCTTAGGACAAAACAGAGAATCATCGACGAACCGCGTCGCAACGCACCGTGGTCCAGATATACTCTCTTAGGGTTTCACCCCTGGCGTCTCGCAGTTAGTCAAGCCCGTCGCAGCCGAAGTCACGTATCGCTGGACCCTGCCTACGACGGTATAGCTAGCCAGTCGTCATTTAGTCATCGTTCGTTGTCGTTCAGCGCCATCAAAGCAGCCGAATCCCCGCCGAGCCACCAAACTACCAAAGTAGTCGACTACGTCGCCAGTGAATCACGTGACGCCGTGGTTAGCTGGAGAACGCACTCTGGTGACTTACCACCGAGCACCGTCCATGCTCATTCTTGCATACCCTCCCCTCATTGCTTCATTTCGCAGTTGTCCTAGACAATGTCTTCGACGTAGATGGTGGGTATAGCTCCAGTGGATACTTTCTTAACGCACACAGCAGCACAAGCGCGACGCCACTCGCTTTACACATCGCCACATAGCCGCGAATCCCCCTCTATAGTCTATGTTGCTATTCAATATTATGTTAAATATGGGCTAGAAAGAGAAGACAAATAATTTAATAACATATGTTCGGTACAATATTTATAAAATAAAAATTATCATAAAAGGTAGACAAGACAAAGGTGATTACATTCGGGTCGTTATAAATGCACTCAATTACGGCACCAAAGTACTATCATTATTTTTTATCAGTATAATAACACAATATGATATTATCACCTATATTAAATATTATAATAATAATATGATATATTCAATTCTATTTTGTTAACTAACTCAATAAAGTATAGGTTACATAACCTAACCTTTATTTCCTGTTTGAACCGACGGTGTCGAGCAACCTAACCTAACCTAACCTAACCCATTACGGCGGCAATGTCGCACAGATCCATCTTATTGAAAATCTTCGTTTGGCTGTTAATTATAGACAACGTTGTCCAATTATTATTTTTCTTAGTATAAATGTAAAATACTTAAATTTTATTTAAATTGTTAAATAATCAAATAAAACGAATCTGTTATATGTGCAGAGAGACGAATAACATAAGGTTGTATATATATATTATTAAGGTTATTATATACCAGTTATAAGCAATTAACGGAAAACGTGGGATAACTCAAACAACATACATATACACATATTATGATAACCTTTTATTATTACTATTAGATTCACAAAATAAGTTTAATTACTACAGGAAATGCGCCAATGCTTACAGTTAACTACTTATTATAATAATTAAGTTCCAAAATAAAATATTATATTGCATAAAATATAAAAATTATTACTTACTTTTTTTAAGTTGCCTAAGTCACTACTCATAACATAAAAACAAAAACAAAATTAGTTAAATCCGAAAAGGACAACAAATAAACCGTTAACTAATCATGGATATTTATACCATTCATGGATGACAATAAAAATGTTTTAGTGGATGACACAGAATTATAGAATACAGAGATAAACATAGACCATAGAAATAAATAAGAATGAAGAATGAACTATAAAATGATTTTTTTTCAATTGTGAGCTGTGGCGTCTCTGAACCACGAACATAAAATAGGTAGCTCTGAACTATTTTATCTCGATCTCTACCCAATGATAATGAAAAAAACATTAACTAAATAATATTATTATTCAATATATTTATAAATTTATTAGATATTAAATTATTATTAGGTAAGCCGTAAATAGGTACCTACATAAGTTTGAAAATTTTATTAACTTTAAAAATTGAAAATTTGATATTTAAATTACAATTAATTTTAGTGAATTCATATTTGTAAATTATATAGGTACAATAAAAAATACCTATCAGTAATAATAAAAATATGCGATATAATACTCGTATATTTAAATGTTTTTAAGGATTATTAGCAAAAGGTATGTATTTTGTGTCAATATAATTATATTATAAACTTATCTTTTATATATACGTTATATATAAACATGAACATAATAGAACACACAATACATTTAAGCACAAATAAATAAAATACAAAATTGTGCATTTGTGCATTAGATTGCCAAGTTTAGTTGTATACGCAAATATGAGATACGGTAGTATACTACGCCAGTGGTATAATTTTTTGATTATGTTTGTAAGACGAGAGGGAAATGAAATGTTTTTACATTATCCTATTGCCCTCTTCCATATACGTCATTGGTGGGACAAGATGGGGCAGTTGCCCCCCAAAAAAACTATTGCGAGGGTAAACTTATAATATGGCCCCTCCTTAGTTTAATATTATTTAAACAATTTTTAATTTTTATAAAATATTTTATGTTGAAATTACCTTTGTACAATTATATAAGAAAGTTATTCCCCACATTAAGTTAGATAAATATAATCAATATTACCATAATTTAATATAAACTAATGTAAATTCTTTAAAACTACGGACATTAATATAATTTAAATGACAAAATTATATTTCTATCTGGTAACCCAGGGTAATTTCTCAAAACCAGATTTTACAGCTAGCTTTTTCTATATTTTATCTGATGACCTTTTTTTTTGCTGTCCATGCTCCCTCCCCCAAAGAAAATTTCTGGATCCGCCCATGATAAGTAGTAAGTAAAATCAATACGAATTACGAAATGCTTACAGAATGTCACAAATGCGTATACTATATTATACAAAGTGATACAGTGTCATTAGTACGAACATACATTAATTGTTTTAAATTGATATAATTTCATCATTATGCACGCTGTATATAGTTTATATTATGCCCCACACTGTGTATATGACTATATAGTGCTAAGCGCTGCTGACCGATACAAACAGTTGTTGGTGTGCGAGATCGAACTCGTTTTAGTTAGGATTAGGACTCACTGTACATAGTAATATTCTCTCGTGAGCTGGAGTTAAGGGGATTAGTGTTTTTTGTATAATTTTTATAAAATATAGAGTATATTATAAAATAATATTTTAAGTTAAATTAGTATATAAATGTAGTACACCAGTCTTAAAAAAAGTTTACGGAGGGAGGGATACGATACTCAAATCCCACCGTAATTACACCACTACCTATACTTCGCATATAAAATGTAGATTATAAGCGATTGCAATATGTAAATCAAATCATAATAGATGTTCAGATAATTACAAATTAATTACATTAATGTTGTTTTGATAAATAAAAACTAAATAATTATGTATAATAATGGTATTTTATTTGTGATAATAAAAAAATTATTTTTATCAATAAGTTTTATATTCCACCTTGATATTCACAGAAGATAATCAACGAGTTTCAACGTGAAAATTGATCATTTTAACTGTTTATTTATTCATTACCTACCTGATAATATAAGTTATAACCATTATAATATATCTACGGCGTACCTATGTTGCTATTTTAAAACCTGATTTATTAAAATATTAATTTATATAAATAATATAGTTTAATATAATATAAACTTACTACTAGTAACACTAGTATAGGTACTCTCAATTCTCAACTCTACATAAGTATATAATATTATAAAATATATTTGTGCAGTAAATACAAGCTACCTACATATCTATATTTTGTTGTCCAACAGATCTAATTTATTCATTCATTTATTTATTGATTGTTTTAATTACAAGCTATCCATAAAAATTTTAATTTATACTACTTACAGAATGTTATTGCGTTAAGTTTTTAAACTTATTCCAGTTTTAAAAAAAAAAATGTCTAGTCACCAACCCTTTTTATTGAAATACTAGGTTACACAATCACTTTATACCTACTTATTATCACCATATATCCATATGCATTTGAAACTGTTAATTGTTAAGTGTTAACCATTTTAGATTTAAATATATTAATAGTATAAAAAATAAGCAATTGAGTTATAAAACTAACATTATAAAGTTAATTTTCTTTTAGTTTTTAAAAACATGTTAATAACTGATATGGCTACGGCGATCCGTACTCCGTATGGAAGTCGCAGCGTGTAGCAAGAAAAAAAAGATCTCAGCATGTTTTATCGAGTTTTGCAGGAATTGCGCAGAATTATGGTCATTGCCCATTGGTCTCTTTATTTGTAGCAATAAAAACAAAGAAAGTAATACAACAACAAAAAAAAGGTGCGGATATATACCAATGTTAACTAAAAACAAAATATATGTTCCGATGATTTGTTGTCGGGGCGATAGTTTTCATAACACTATAACAGGGTAAATTCGCCGGTAACCGTTACTCATCCAGCGCGATATATGTCTTCCCGTCCCGCCTTGTGCCTTAATGGCATGGAAGAGGATCAACGCCTCAACGGTATCACGACGTCATTGTAGTACGTGGTGGCAATAATTGGTAAAGTTTGGAACCGGTTGCTGTGGCACCTGTACTTTGTATTGGCTATCGTTAAGTACCGTGTCATAACTTTAATGACATTTCATTAAATATCCAGGCTTGGGCAGTATCTTCGATACAAGTATCTTAGATACGTATCTTAGATACATTTGTATCTTGTATCTTGTATCGCGATACTTCAAAGCAAAGTATCTTGTATCTAGTATCTCGATACTGCATTTTGAGTATCTTGCCCTTGGAAATTATTTTTCAGTACCGATAAATCATAAAATAAAGTTATATATAATATATGTGATATATATAGATATATATCTGTAGACTGTGACACACGTACATTGAATTGGATTTTACGTCTGTACCTTATTAGATATCCGTAATTTTACATGTATAAACGTATAGTCTATTATATTATACCTTTCGCGATAAAGTAGGTATTAAATACGATAAAATTAGTAGATTTTAACAACATTTTAAAAGGGACTCCAGCATCTAGAATCAACCATTCTGTTATGGGTAAATGTACAACACTCTGGAATTTGTCACGAAGACCAAAATCTTCAGAAATTATTCATAATATATTAAATTGTTCGCTAAAATATCCATGTCCAACTCGGTGGAATTCTCTTTATGACAGTATTACACAGCTTTTGAAATACAAAGACAAATTAAATTTAGTGTTAAAAGAATTAAATGTTAAATATACTTTAAAAGATATAGATTTGGAATATTTAGAGGAATTAGCTGCGTTGTTAAAGCCTATTGCTGGTGCCTTAGACTTTTTGCAGAGTGAAAATCAATGTTACTACGGTCAACTTTTACCCACATTATTTTCACTTAAAACTAGATTAGAAATGTTAAAAGAAAAAAATTTTCGTCATTTAGCTAATATGATAACACCGTTGGTTAATTCTTTAGTAAAACGATTTAACGATTTTTTTAAATTATCTCCCAGTATAAATGAAGCTATTTTAGCAACTTGTTTCCATCCATGTTTTAAATTAAGATGGATCTCAAATGAATATGACCACGAAAAAAATAGAATTCAAAACCTATGTATAAATGCTGCAGAAAATATTTTTAACAATGATGTTACTAATAACTCAAATTATAGCGATGAAGATGACGAAAATTTTATTGTTTTTTCATCGCAACCAGTTGCTAAAACCATTAAAAAAGCTGACTTGGAAGTAGTAACTTTTTTTAATGATAAGAGTAAATCTTTAAATATTCTTAACAATTATCCTAATGTAAAAAAAATTTTTATTAGATTTAATACTAGCTTGTGCTCTTCAGCACCCGTAGAACGAATGTTTTCCATGGCAGGATTTATTAATAATCCTACCAGAAATAAATTATCTGATTCAACTTTTGAAAAACTTGTATTTTTAAAAGGAAACAAAGATAAATTATCTTTATAATTTATCTTTGTTTCTTAATTGTTAAAAATTAATGACGTTATGTACTATTTAAATTAAATTCAGACTGGCTTATACTCTTATTTATTATAATATATTAGGATTTAGGACATTATGTTATTACTAAAATTATTTTTATTATGTATTTATATAATTTTTAATGTAGAATTATTATTTAATTGTTCTGTAATTGTATTGTGATTATTTTTGCATTGTTGACGACAACGAGATTATGTAATGTCGTAATTGATTTATTTTATTATTACTGAATAAGTGTCAATTTTTATTATTTTATTTGGTCATCCCCATAATAATAAATATATATATTTTTTTAAAAAACAGTGAATCATTTTATTAAAATGTATCGAGTATTTAGTATCGAGTATCTAGTATCGCGATACTCTAAAGCCAAGTATCGAGTATCTAGTATCGCGATACTCTATAGCCAAGTATCTAGTATCTTGTATCGCGATACTCCAAAGCAAAGTATCTTGTATCTAGTATCTCGATACTGCTTTTTGAGTATCTTGCCCAACCCTGTAAATATCATGGTAAATATTTAAAAAGGTAAAATCAGTTAATCTTTTTTCAGACCTAGTTGATCTCAACCATGTTTTGAGTTTTCATAATGTTTAATATTGTACATATTGTATAATACTATAATATAGTGTACACATAAACGACAATAATAACTCAATTATATAATTTTATCATTTTTTGAAGTAAATGTAATAACAATAATATAAATAATTAATATTTTTTTGGCATTTTGGAAAATTTGGGAAAGCCATAATTCCCATACTCCTTTCTTCATGTGGCATGTATCCTTAAGTCTACACAAGAATAGCAAATTCGATAGCGTTTCCACCATTTGATTTAGTCATTGCTACCCAATTAAGAACAATTACTATTATTTTAATTGCTTGTTTTACTTTACATACCTACCTAAAGTTTGAATTTTGATAATGGCAATGTTATCACTATAGACAAAAAAGGTTTAAAAGCACCAAGTATCTTCTAAGTTCAACCTTGAAGTATGTCTCATAGATTATAACAATAAGAATGTATACAGAAGTGATTCAATTATCCGATACTTGGTGATTCTAATAAAAGGTTAATTTAACATTAGTAGTATACAATTTGATCTGAGATTTTCAATTTTGATTTCAATAAACAGTTGATTCTATAAACCAGTGATCTGATGATGAATTAAGCAGAACTCACAATATATTAAATTAACCCCTAAAAAAAATCACCCCATTTGAAGTATTTTTAGCTTTTACTGTCCCAATATAAAATGACACAATTAGAAAAAATAAATTTTAAAAAACACATCATTGTAAAATTAACACATTCATCAGAATCTAAAAAAAAATAAATTTTTATCTAGCATAGTATATTAGAAAAAACTATGATATAAAGTCTTTTTAATATTCAAAATATTCAAAAGGAAACAATCAATGTTTTATAATTTTAAGATGCTATTTTACTGCAAAATGACCATACTTGTATTCATAATTAAAATTATAAATATTTTAAATACTTGACAGAATATTCAATTTTGAATGAAATGTTAAATCATTTTGCATTAATCAAACTATCACTAATAATTTAACAACAGATAACAGTATAATAATTCAATTTAAATTCAATTTCATTATAAAAAATAAAATCTGTAAAATGTAAATTTATTAAAATGTATAAATCATTAAAATAATTTAATTATTATGTTTTTTAATAACATGGAATTTCAATAACCAATCACAGTAATTAATAGCAATAAATATATAATAAATTACAGATTTTTATTTCAGTTTCAAAAATATATATAGTATAAAAAATACTGCCAAACTAAATAAAATTAAATATAGCATATTATAACCACCACTATTTCTAGTAAGTCTTGTAACTCGACCAAGTGTATTACTCAAAAATCCTCCAGTAGTTTCAAAATCATGATCCATATCTCTTAGTAAGCGATCCTGGTATTTTACTTCTGCACCAATGTCAATAGAGAGAGACTTCAAAGTATTCACCTTATCTTTTAGTTGTTCAGTTAAATCATCATTTTCAGTTTCAATGAACTCACCACCATATGAACTGCTTGAAGGCAGTGGATCATAATAATTTCCTCCGTGAGATCTACGCATTATTTTATCTGAAATTAAAAGTAATAAACTCAACAAAATATTCAAATTTCTATGTTTAATTGTTTAATAAAAACATACCTTTATAATCCATCAACTAAATAAAAATTTATATTTTATCTTTTTGTCTTGAAAAAATGTTCATTATCATAATATATTTTAATATTTACTATTTTATTATTTTACTAAGAATTTATGAGTGAAATATTCAACATCTAAAAATCTTACGAAATTTAACTTTTTATTTTTATTATTATCAGTGCCTCGTTGTCTATTTTGTAAAGTGATAAAGTGATAACAAATTATATCAAAAAAATATAAGTTGGTTATCTCATGGTTTTCAGTGTTTTCACTGTTTAGAAATTAGAATGTTTAGATTTCACTATTTAGAACTAAAAATTATACTTTACATATAAAAGATTATTTAAATTATTGTCCACTTATGTAATTATTCATTATTAATATTTAATTATTTATTTGAAAATTATATTTTGTGCGTTGAAATTATTCAAGTATGTGTGTAATGAAATAGATATAATTTATTTTATTGTACTCTTATGATGTGATTTGACTCTTAATACTCTCTCTAAAAACAATTTCCTATTTAAAACCTTTCCAATTAAGCATTCCAAAATTAATATTCATACTGTAAGTGCATTTAATTATACTTAAACAAAAATACATTCAATTTATTATTTATTTTTAACTGTTGACCTAGTGGTGATGCTAAAAATTTGCTTCATTTTTGGTTGAAAGAAGAATGTAATAATTTGTTATATCTTGTAAAATTAACTTAGATTCCTCATCAATTTAGTAAATAGACTTGTTGTAATCATCATTCAAAAAATCATTTAAAGAAATGCTTATGTTATAATTAATATATTCACAGAACATTGAAAACATTTTTAAATATTTAAGAACATTTTGGGTTGTGGTTGGAGGCTATAACCTCTTAATATTGTAAGGCTACCCGCTACGCCACTGTATTTACTTTTATTATTATTTTGTCAATTTATTCTAATATTAATTTATTTTGTTTATAGTATATATAAAAAAAGTTTATTACAATGTTTCGAAATGGTAAATTTTCTGAAACGACTCCATCAAAACAGTCTCGAAGTGAACGTTTTCAAGAAATGTCAAAACAACAACAATTAATTGAACAGAAAAAACGTGAAATTCAAGCTAGATTTGAAGAAAAAAAAAAGAAAATTGCTGAACTAACGGGAGAAAATAAATCACAACAACATTTAGCTACTTCTAAAAATGCAATAAAATTGGACAAAATCAAATCATTTTATCAAAAATCTAAGAGTATCAAAAAGTTGGTAATCTTTTTCTAATAATTTTGTTAATTTTAAAAATATTTATTCAAATTAATAAATTTACTTGTACAGGAATGAAACTTTAGTAAAAGGTTCCAATGATGATCTACCGTATGAGTCTACAGGAGCTCATAAGAATAAACCTAGTTTAGCTGATGTTTTTGAGAAAGATGACACTTCTGGTAAAATTTGACTTTATATTTATTTATTTATTTATACTTTTCATATAGTACAGTTTTCAATCTAGCATCTCACAAAGTTATCTTACAAAATAACAACCATCCATTTGTATATAATGTATAAATATTGCAGAATTATTAATTACTATGACTCTGGATATCTGTTGTTTTCCCTTAAAATTTATAATTACCTATGTTACTATTTTATTTTCTCTTAAACATAATTTATTTTTTATTTGAATAAATGGGATTTAAATAAAAAAAATAAATATTATATTTATTATATTGTTATGTTCTTAAATTTTACAAATATTCTTTTTTTTACTTGTATTATTTATAATTGCTTTTAACAATATTTAAAATAATCTTATATTTTGTAATATAATATATATTTAAGTTTAATTTATTTATTTGAATTTTTATATTTTTAGATATTAAAGATCTTGAAAATAGTATTGAACCAAAAGTTGTTCACGGACCAAAATTAGGTATGAATAAAATTATTTTTTGAAGAATATACATTTCGAGTTGAAAAAAAATTGATGAAAATTATTGTTTAATTTAATAGCTAGTTTCTGAAATTATTTACAGAAAAATTTTATTAACAGTAAATCATAATCATTTAAAAAATTATAAGTAGTATTACTCACTTTAAAAATTACTCTTAATCCTTAAAAAATAAGATAATTATGTTTTGTAATTTTATTAATTTACCTTTTTTGAATGGTATATCACATATTATTAATTTAATATTTTGAAACAAAATATTTTAATGTTTGAAAATTGAATTTTGATTGAGTATGTAGTTAATTGCTAATGAGTTATAACTAGAATGTGTCCTTATATCCTAAAAAAAAAAATAACAAAATGTCTTAAAAAATATGATTTTCTGCATTAATAATATTTTAAAACTTAAAGTATCATAAAATTTATTTTCAAAATAATATTAAACAAAATTCTATTTTTATATATTTTACATGCTTATAGAATCACTATAATAATGATTCAAAGGAGTAAAATTAAATTTTTTTTTTTTAAATTATTTAATAATATAATTGAGTGTCCTAAATTACTGAAAAATAAATAAATTCAACAAATTGCAGATCTTCTAATTAATTTTATCTTAAACAGTCTAACACAAATTATATACACATTCACCAGCCAAAATTTTAATGTTTGTAGGCAATTTTGTAAAAAATATTGAGTTTTTAGTAAATCTTTAAATGTTTTTTATGGCAAATATTTCTCTCTTAAAAATATTGTATGATCTAAATATTTATATATTTTTTCTACTTTTTATATAATTTTTTTTATGTTATTGATGATGTAGGTTTATATATATATTATAAAAAAAACCTAAACCAGATTTTATCCATAATAAAAATAAAAAAACAATAATAGTATTCTTTATATTAAATCTGCAATTTAGTTACAATATAAATACTTTAAGTAAAGATGAATGAATACAAAATTTAATAAATATTATGTTTGAATAACTAAAATACTTAAAAATTATAACAATAAAAATAGTAAGTTATAATTTATTTTTTAAATGTTGTTTTGTTACAACTAAATTTATTTGAAAAAAGAATATTTTCTAAATCATTAATTATTTTTATGGCTATAATTGTTTGCTTTCCCTTCAAGCAAAGAGTCACTAATGGGTGGCATTTTATTTATGTAAACCATGTATTCTGCCTTTCTTTACAAATACTTATTATGCTAAGCAGTGTAGATTATATATAAGTATCTTATAAAAATAAAAATAAAAGCAAAATAATTGTTTTACTGTTTAAAATATCGCTTCTTTATAATATTAATTTAGTAAATAAGTGAAAATATTGAAGTTTATTACAATTATTAATAAATATTGATTTTCTTTAATAATTTGTAATTATCATGTTTTAGAGTCAAATTATAGTATAGATGCATTTAAAGAACCTGAGCCCTTTATTCCAGATCATCAGTTTATTGGATATAATATTAATCAATCATACCAACCATCCAACTTTTATAACACTCCATCTGTTCAAGTAACTTCAATTCAACCTCAGACCACTGTGGTTCAAGTTCCTACTGTATCAATAGTTACTACACATCCAATTTTACAAATTTCACAACCAACTTCAATGTATCAACCACAAAATCCAGTATTTATATCTCAAAATAATTCAAAAGTAATAAACTAACAACTATATTGTAGTATTTTCATTATTACTCTTATTATATAACTAACTTAAAATTATATTACAGATGACTATTCCTCATGGTCCTTATCAACAATATCCATTGCAAACTCCTCCATTAACAGCTACAATAGTTACAGATACTACAACCACAACAACTGTACCTCGTAATGCTGATGAGCAACCATCACTTATAGTAACTGAAACATCTACTGTGTCTTTGGGACCAACTCCAGATGCAGCACATATATTGAATGCAACACCTCAGACAATTGAAGCTTATACACCGGTTCCGAGAGGTACTGTTACGAACAATTGTAGTTTTTGTATAAAAAACATCTATACGTTTATAATTTATTATATAAATTGGGTTGTTTGTGGGAATTTGGGTGAGGGGGTTTGCGTTTAATCGCAAATTAAGCTTATTCAGAGTTGTCTAGCTTTGAATACAGTGATGAGATGTGAACCACAAGCAGTGCTTGACAATCAAGATGTCGAAAGTTTGGCAGCTACAGTTGCTGAATATGGTGATAAAATTGAAAATATCATACTACAAGAACGACCCCAAGATGCTAATTTATTGTATGTATCAATTTTTATATATTTATAAAATGTTTAAATATTATTAAATATTTTAGATTTTTGAGAGACAAAAATTCTCCAGCCTATACAATTTTTCGCCAAAGAGTTGGATACTTAAAAGCAAAAATGATTGCTAATAAATTAACTCCAACTGAGATAAAACCTCAAACATTAGCAAATCAAAAACCTATTACAGACTTTGATAATGAAGATGGAACTAATAAAAAACGTAAACGTAAAAGTCGTTGGGCAAATGATAATGTTAAAGTTACAGTTACTTCAGCAATTGGTGGTACTCCTTCTCTTGCAATCAATCAAAGTATTCCCCAACCAGTAAATGCTCAAAAACTTGGTAATTAAATAATATTCAACATTTTAACTTTTTTTTTACTAATCACTTTATCTTTACAATTTTTTTAATTAGTTGGTGTGCCTGGTATGTCTGGACCTATGATCAGTCAAGTTGGACGAAATGATCCCGCTTTAATACAGTATGCGATGCAATCATTTGGAACAATAAATTTATCTGAAGAAGATTGGAAAAAAGCAGAAGATCATTATAAAGTAATACTAATGTGTAATGTATATGATATACATACATGGATATTATTTTATAACTAATTATTATTACAGATAAATTTGTTATATCAAGATATGCTAAAGAAACGTCAACAATTGGAAAGTTTACAAAAAGCTGGAAAATTTAAATATGAATATGATAGTGATGAAGATACTGAAGGTGGTACATGGGAACATAAATTAAGAAAAGAGGAAATGGTTGCCACTGAAAGATGGGCTGAAGAATTAACTGAGAAGTCTAAAGATAAACATCATATTGGTGACTTTTTACC